GTAGGGAGCCTGCCGACAACACCGGAGCCTCAGGTTTGGCCCCTGGGTCGGGAACATCCCCTGGAGGAGAGCATGTCTGCCCACACCGGTACTCTTGCCTGGAGAATCCTGTGGAGAGAGGAGCCCGGCAGGCTGTAGTCCACGGGGCTGCAAACAGTCAGACATAAGTAAGCACGCACACACGGTTTCCCTCCACGTGGTATTGATAATTATCTATGTCTAAAGAGTTCCAAAAGGGCTTTTTTTCAGGATGTAGAGGAAAGAACTTCTGGGTAATAAGGAAGCACCTCAACATGGCTTAAGTGGCAACTTCTTTATTAGCAACACAGGAAAGAACCATGTGTCTTACCGATTTTTGGCATCTCAATTCAGTAAAATGGGAAGGAAAACCGTGAGGAGGAACATGGGCATACCAAATGACTGGGGAGTGTGAGGAAGTGGGAGGAGTCAGGAGTGACTTCAGCGTTCCCAGGGCGGCGGTGGCGGATGGCGGTCAGGAGCAGAGAACTGGGCCCCTGGGGGAGCAGGACGTAGATGTTGGTGTGCAAGGAGGTGTTTTGCTCAGGATGACCACGTCTGCCACACGAGAGGGAAGGGGCGATATGAGATGATGTCTGTACAGAAAAGCATTGTTTTGGTTTTGTTTTGATCAGAGAAAAGCTTACTGCAGGGCCAAGCAAGGAGAACGAGTGACTTGGGCTCAGAAACCCTGAACTCCCCGCGAAGCATTGTTGATGTCAAACAGAATTCTCTGTGATCTGCGGTAGAGGACAAGTCTGCTCCCATGTTCGTCTGGGGTTATCCGTGTGGATTCTTTAATGAGGAAAAAGACGAACCTTCTCTGGATCTGATTGGATGCCTAGGAAGTGGGCAAGACCTTCTCTACATATTATGACAACAGGTTTCCTTCCTCATAGCCAAGGACTCCCACCCAGGGAATGCCCAGGGCTTTAAGAGCGAGTCTTCTGGACTCGGATGTCCTCAGTTGGAACCCTGGCTCTGCTGACCAGTGGTGAGACTTACTGCCACTGACCTCCACGGTTTCCATCGGTGAAAGCCGATTCCCCCTTTCCTTCTTGTTCCCTCCCGCAGGATTCCTGGCATCAGACTGGCTTCCAAGGGCATAAATCTAAGCTAATGTAGATAATTTAAGCTAATGTAGATACCTTAACAGAGTATTTAAAAAAATTGAAGAGCAAAGCTGTTTGCTTCTTACATCTAGATTTCTGTTGAGAACAAAATGAAAGGGTTTGTCTTAATTTAGCAGAATTTTAAATTGCACTGTTCAAAATGCCCATTTCTAAGAGAATGGCAAAAAAAATCACAATTAGCACACTTGAACCATACTTGGGACCCAGTCTGCCTTGTTTGATTGGCTTAGTTCACTTATTGCCCGAGGCAGATATTTGAACATCGGGAAATGCATTAGGACTCTGCCAATACCTTAAGTCCTTTTTTAAAAAAATTATTTTTATCTTTGGTTGCTGGTGTGGGCTTTCTCTAGTTGCAATGAGCGAGGGCTACTCTTGATCGAGGTGCCTGGGTTTCTCATTGCAGTGGCTCCTCTCGTTGCAGAGCACAGCTCTAGAGTCTGTGGGCTTCGGTAGTTGCGGCACATGGGCTTAGTTCCCCAAGAACGTGTAGCATCTTTCCAGACCAGGGGTGGAACCCGTGTCCCCTGCTTTGGCAGGCGGATTCTTAACCGCTGGACCACCACGGGAGTCCTCGGAGCCTGTCAGTGCCTTGAATGGTCCACCTAACGTGAACCATGACTCTCTCAGTCCAGTGAAAGTAGCTGAAGACAGCCACTCTGCTTTTGTTACAGCAGATTCAGTTTTGCAGCGCCCACATTTACGGTGCAGTTGCCAAGCAGGAGACGTTAAGAGACACGGGCCCAGCCCCTGGGCTGGGAAGCTGCCCTGAAGGAGAACGTGGCAGCCCACTCCAGTATTCCTGCCTGAGAGCCCCGTGGACAGAGAAGCCTGGGGGCTACGCTCCATAGGGCCACAGAGTCAGACACGGCTGAGCGACTTAGCACACACGCTTGTCTCTTCCAAAGAAGGCATCTATTACCTTCCAGAGAAGTGTGGTTAATTTAACAAACACTTAAAATTGGGTTCGTATATTAAAGTGATATTATATGGTGCAAGACTCCATAAAATACCGGTAAACAGTTAATGAGCATTGTGTTTATATCATATCCACAATCAGAATGTTAATATTACCTATTTGTCTTGGGCCATAAAACCCGAGTGTTGGTAAGCAAATAGTGAGTAACAGATCAAGCACTGCAGCCCAAGCGTGAGTGCGTGTGGGCGCCTGATACCCACGCTCTGATAGCCAGGTCCAGACTGTGAAGTTCAGCATGAGACAGACACTCTGGAGCTGACATCTGCAGGCTGACGAGGTCACGCAGCGTCACAGGACAGTCAGGAGGTGCTCGTTGTCATCTTCCGGCAGCCTGGGGGTGCAACGCTCCGGTTCAGGTGTCAGCGAGTCTTCTGTGTTAGCAGTGCTCAAAGCCGAGACTGGTTTGTTGATGGAAGGTCTTGACCTGCTTTGGGACCAGGACGTTCACTGGGGAGCCAGAGAAATGGCTTTTTTCCCGGAGGCATGTTGGTTTCTACCTGAGGATGGATTGCCTCTGAACTGGTTGTTGCGTTCGTCAATTGGACCCAGTCTCGTTCGTCCCAGGTGACCTTCGGAGGCTGTGTTTCATGTGTTGGATGATCCGTTGCAGTGGCATTAAAACAGCTGGATTGGTTATGGCAGCTCTGCAGGAAAATATTCTTTCTCAGAACACCACAGAGTAGTAAGTGCAGTGTTCCTCAGGCTTATTTTCCAAAAATGCTTTTAATAGGAGGGCTTCCCTCGGAGCTCAGTAGGTAAAGAATCTGCCTGCAATGCAGGAGATCCGGGTTCGATTCCTGGGTTGGGAAGATCCCCTGGAGAAGGAAATGGCAGCCCCACTGCAGTATTCTTGTCCGGAGAATCCCCATGGACTGAGGAGCCTAGTGGGCTACAGTCCGTGGGGCACAAAGAGTCGGACATGACTGAGTGACTAATGCTTTCACTTTGGGGCTTCCCTGATAGCTCTGCTGGTAAAGAATCCACCTGCAATGTAGGAGACCCCAGTTCAATTCCTGGGTCGGGAAGATGCCCTGGAGAAGGGATAGGCTACCAACTCCAGTATTCATGGGATTCCCTGGTGGCTCAGATGGGAAAGAATCTGCTTGCAGTGTGGGAGATCTGAGTTTGATCCCTGGGTTGGGAAGATTCCCTGGAGGAGGGAACGGCTCCCCACTCCAGTGTTCTGGCCTATACAGTCCATGGAATTCTCTGGACTGATTGATGGCAGCTCTGCAGGATAGTAGTATTTCTCAAGACACCACAGAGTAATAAGCTTAGTTTGTCTCAGGTTTATTTTCCAAAAATACTTTTAACAGGAGGAAAGATGAAGGAAATTAAAAGCAGAATTGTGTAAATATTTTGCTGTTTTTCTGGGCTGGGTCTGTGGTCGAGTTAGGGTCCACGGAGCATGTCATGGTATGGAGACCAGATTGGAGTGTGGATGGTGGATTAGCTAGAAGTCTGTGTCAAGGCCTGTTTCTTGAACGGGGTGACCGTCCTGCAGTTCTGCAGGGGCTTCTGTTTCTAATGTCAGGGAGCTACCCAGTAGTGTAGATAGGGCGTGTGTCCTCCTTCACCTGCCGCCCCACTGCCTCGGGAACTCCTGGGGTGCCGGGAGCAGGCACCTGACCCCGATGAGTGTGCGTTGCTTTGTCTCTTCATTCAGCGTCGTCTCTGCTTTTGTGCCCTCGTGACGACGGGGGGCAATGTGTGCTTGTCGCTGCCCTTCGAATGCTGTTTCAGACGTAAGAAGCCCAGTGTGTGGTGTCTCCCCCAGAGACCAAAGATGGAAAATGCCTGCGACAGGGAGGTGTGAGGCATGCCAGGAAGAACCAAGCAAGTTTTCTAGATCCCAGCCTCCAGCTGCCTCCAAGGCACAAGCATCATATACCATTTCTGTCTCTAAAACCAATTCTGCCAAGGCCTTGCTTCCTCGACTTATGAACACAGTTTCGGCTCGCAGGAAAGCCTCCTAAGATAGGTAGACTTTGTGTGGTGCTTGTATGTGGTCAAAAGACTATTTTCACTTTTAATTTCCACAAGGAAGAAACCCCTAGTAATTTGCATAATACACAGAGTGCCATATATAAATGGTACAAGGTGGTTGGGTTTAGTTTGACATTTTCTTAAGTGACATAGAGAACTTACGAGAAGTATCTATCTATATAGTTTTACCTGTATTCACTTCCAAATACTTCAGTAAAGAGGAATAAAGGAGAAATAAAAAGATGGCTTGTATGTAAAAGGTGGAATGTAAGGTTATATGTAACGATGGGGTAGAATTGGAGTGGTGCTCAGATTGAGTTCATCTCACACTGTGATCTGGTTATGCTTTGTTATTATAGTTTATAGTTGTTTTTTTTTTTTTAGAAATCTGAGTTCCCCTCAGGTGTAACCCGACACACCTGCCAGGCATTATTTTTCTCACTGGAGGCGCTCCATCCCGCCCTGAGGTTCCAGGGGCGAACGTCGGGTGGTCGTTGCTGAAGCACTTTTGCGGAGGCTGGCAGAAGTATCTCTAGAGCCCCAGCGACCCCTGCAGACCTGCCCCCCGCCCCACACATGCCCTCCTGGGAGGCCCTCCTCTGGCCCCTTCGTTTGGGAAGAGAACCGCTTCCCTTCCTGCCAAGGTGCTGCCCCTGGTGTTCCTCGGAGGAGGGAGAGGAGTATTTTTGCCACTTTACGAAGAGAAATGTAGGAGAAAGCATGGTCCAGATGGTGCAAGAAGGGGGCCTCTTGGGGGTACCTGGGTCCTGTCCCACAAATCACCTGAGGAGTGTGCACTTTCCCTGGCTTTTCTCAAAATAACTGATTAGATGGACAGTACGCATCCATCCTAACGTGCTTTTTATTCTTCATTTGTACCTTAGGAGGATCCCAAGGTGAAAGACACTTGTAAACAGGACAGCATTTCACCCAAAGCACAGGATTCTGTGTTTTATGCCAAAGAAGGAAAAAAGAAGCCAAAGGCAGAGCCTTTAATCCAGAGTGGGGCAGGTGAGGTGAACTTCCACACAGCTGCTGGCGATGCAGAAAGCTGCCGGGTTGAGAATGTGCTTTACCAGACCAATTTCATCCTGTGGAGATGTGACTGACAACGATCTGATTTAAAATCCTGACTGTAACTGTCCGATTTATTAATACATCAGTTATCGGGTAGGGCCGTGGTGAGGGGAGTGAAAAAACAAAACTCCTCAGTTAATCCCAAGATTAACACAGGACTTAGAACTCACTCTGTGGTCTCTCTGGACGTCAGGGTGGGCATGTTGTCCCTGGAGGGTCGTTGACACAGAAAACAGCCGACAAGCTTGTCAACCTTTTGAGGGAAATGTGAGCACAAAAGCCACCTGAACTGTTTGGAGTATGAGAGGCTTTTAAAAGACTAACTTGCAGAAGTGATTTTAAAAGGGGATGATTTAAAGTATACTCCTTCCAGTCCCACTGCTGTTTTCAGTGCTGTTGCTCCAACCACCACCACTAGTGCCATTGTTATCAGTGTTCACGTTATTGGTCTCTGCTGGCACCACTGTTGTTAGCGCTCCTGTCGGCACCACTGTCACTCGTGCTGTCGCCCGTTACTACTGGTATCAGTGTCGCTGTCACTGTTACGTTCACACCGCTGGTGCCACCGTCACTGGTGCCACTGCTGCTACCCTTGTCAGCACTGCTGTTCCTGCTGTCATTACTGCTACTGTTCCTGCTGTGACTAGCACTGCTCTTGCTCTTGCTGTCACTGCTACTGTCAGCACTATTATCAGTGACACTGTTACCGCTGTTGTCGGCACTACTGGTGTTGCTGTTACTGGTGTTAGTAGTGCTGTTGTTACTGCTGTTATCGCTACTACTGTTACTGTTAGCACTATTATTGCTAGTGTTATTCGTGCTACTGTCACTACTGTTGTTAGCTCTGATGGGCGTCCAGGCTCTGAAGAAGGTGCTTCTGGTCCGTGTTCCCTGTAGGTGTGATGGATGCTTAGGAGACCCTAGTCCCATGGCTGGCTGTGGAGAGAGAGGAGAGTGACTGGAGGCAGGGGTCCCCTTGCCTTCTCCGTAGCACCTGACAAGTTCAAAAGTCCTTTCTCTTAAAGCTGTCCCCTCCCTCGACTCTCCACACAAAATGACTTCAGTTTTCTCCTCTTTGCTCACAGCTTCTTAGCTTCCTGTGTTTGCTTCAAGCTATAGCGTTGGCTGTTTCCCTGATGTTTTTCTCTGACTGTTCCCCCCGACCCCGGTGCTCCGCATCCTAGGACAAAGCATCGTCCTGTGATGCACCAGGCTCGGGTCTGGACACGTGGGGATGTTCAGACGTGTTCCTTCCATCCGCGGAGCTTGCAGCCCGGCGGGCCAGGCAGATGCGTGAGAACCGAGGTCATACTGTCTTGAACCACCCTCTGGGGCTATCACTGAGCCTGTTGAGCCTTTATGACCTGAAACTCTGTAATATATTAGCGGCAATGGAAAATTTAACCGCTGAGTAAAGTCTTGCTTGGGAAGACATGCCCTGTGGGCGTGGCCTGGGCGGCCGGGCGCAGAGCGTGCCCTCCCTCTGGGAGGGGTGTGGTGTCCTAGGACTCACGCTCTAGCCACCACCCTGCTGGACCCGAGACCTGGGCCCACACCCTGTGTCTGCAGGGGGCCCCCTGGGTTTGTTTGAGGACTGCCTTGAATGTTAATATCAAAGGCACAGATAGAGGAACCTCTGGGACGCGGTGGGTCCTGCCCCTTTCCTCTCCTCTTCCGCCCCTCATCCTCCAGCCCAGGGTGTGGGGGTGGCTCTTCTAGGCCGGGGACCAGAGAGGGCAGGAATGGACCCATGGGGACGGGGAGACCCAGGACTCTTGACCAAGGAACGGGATGGGCTGCGACCACAGTCTCCGTCTTGGACCATGAGCCCGCCAGCGGCCGCAGCTGTGTCTTCTCGGATATCGAAGGAACTGCCTGGCCCAGTTCTTTCTGATTCTGCCACCTGTTGCTTTTGATCAGGGTGAGGAGAAGCTTTTCAGGAATCTTGGGATTTTGTAAGCTTTTAACACATCTAGTTGTAATGCTAATTACATGATTTTATCTGCCAGTTCAGTTGAGTGACTCAAGTGTACAGCTTCAACCCCTGCCTATTAAACCCAGTTCTTGAATATGTTTTGAAGGAGTACATCTGCGTGGCCTTAAACTCTGATGTTGATGTCTGGCGGTGCTTTGCATTTCTTTCTAACTGAGGGAGCCGGTTACACCCTTGTCGAATGCTCACGGCATCTGCCTCTGGCCTGAGGCCCGTGAGCTGGGGGACACAGGGATGACCCCGACTCCCAGGGCCCGGGACCTTTGTGGACACAGTGCAGGTGTCGAGGGGCCCCAGGCCCAGCGCCTGGACTGAAGCAGAACCGGGGCAGCAGGGAGGGAGGTGGCGTGCAGGGCCTGCCGCCCCTGGACCAGGCTGCCTGACAACGACACGGGAGGCTCTGAGGATGCTGAGCTGTAACTCTGGTTTGGGTCAGAAAAGGTGCAGCGCGCGTCAGCTTGAAAACACCGTGTTATTTTCCTCCAGATGGTGACGTGTTTAAGGCCCAGACTCCTAACCAGGAGACCCAAGGAGCCCCGGAAGTCACGGAGGCCCCAGACGTGCACGTGGAGCTGCCTGTGGACAGGGTGGGTGGTCCCTCCCCTGCCGCTCACGCCCCGGCCCCTCCCCGAGCTCTCCCCGGCCCCTCCCCTGAGCTCTCCCCGGCCCCTCCCCCTGCCGCTCACGCCCCGGCCCCTCCCCGAGCTCTCCCTGGCCCCGCTAGAGTGTTCTTTGCCTCCTGCAGTTAACACCCTTCAGATCCTGCGCCTCACATTTTCCTGCCCGTTTTCCCCCAAGACTCTCCTGCTACCAGGACCCACTGACCAGTTGTTTGTGACTGCATACTCCGTCTTGTCATTGTTTTGGTTCCTGTCTTCCCCCCCCCGGCCAAGCTGCCAGCTCCACACCAATGGGATGGTCTGCATTGCTTACTTGCATAGCCCCTGTTCCCAGGAGAGGGCCTGGCAGGTGGGAGGCTCCTAGGAATCACTGCTGGAAAGACAGGATGAGTGGTGTCTTCAGACCACGTGGTTGGGAACCAGGGATCTGTCCCTTCCTGGCTTCCTGCTCTCAGGCTCAGCCTCCTGTCCCTGCAGTCAGGTGACGTCATCGAGCCGGTCGGCCTGGGCGCCGAGTGTCGTGCACTCGGCGTGGAAGTTTCCCGTCCAGGGCCTGGCGCGCTGGGGACCCTCGCTCACCGTTCCCGTCCTCCTGGCTTCACGGAGGAGGGAGGTGAAGCCCTGCGTGGCCCCCAGAGGAGAGGAGGGGACAGATGAGCTGGCCGGGGGGCTGACCTCGAGGCCGGGCTCCTGCACAGGAGCTGAAGCCAAGGGCTGCATGTTCGGGATCAGCTGGCAGGAGTTGTCGGGCCCTCGGGGCTCAGCGCTGGCATCAATCCGATCACTCGTCCACTGACTCTAAGTCAGGTGTGGCTACATGACCTGCTGTCCCCGATGACAAGCGATCTGTCCAGGCAGAGGCCTCAAGGGCCAGTGTGCACTTGACCACGTGCCCTTTCTGCCTCTGAGGTCATGGGAGCACCAGAGGTTGGACTCTCCTGGCTGGCTGACTTTGGGAGGCCCTCCTCTGCCCCAGAAGCACCCGGGGAAGCCTTTGATTTTTGACCCCAGAACACACAATTTTCCCAGAGCAGAGAGAGACCCCAGGGCACCGACTGCAACAGCTCGTTGCCTTTTGCCAACAAGCCGTGACCACCAGGAAGGTACCCACACAGCGTAGTGTGCCCATGGCCTTGGAGGGAGCAGGGCCAGGCAGTCTCTTGAACCCGGAGGAGGGTGCTGTTCGGGGTCCCCACGGGCACGCTGGGAATTGCAGAGGGTCTGCAGTGAGCAGTCTCTCCTTTTTACCCAAAAGGCATTTGCAGTGTCTCTTAACATTTTTCCCCAACAATTTTATTACAGAGGTGGGCATTCGTTGGCGCAGTCAAAGGTAAAAATGCAGAGCAGATGCTACCCTGGGTGGGAAGAAACCTCTGTGGGATAAAGAGTGGCTTTTGTCTCTGCCCGTACAAGCGTCAGGCGGTCACAGGGTTTCACCCACTCTTTGCGGCTTGAAGGACCGTGACGAGGTTGACTGTAACTAAATCCAGCATGTGGTGTCTTTTATCCCCAGAGACCAGCCGAGATCGTCAAAGACACTGAAGAGACAGACAGACACACGTCTGATTTTGAAAGCAACTGGGTGAGTTGACTCTCCGTTCATTTTGTACTGGCCAGCCTGAGTCTACGGCCCCTCTTCATCCTTGTAACATGTTGGGTGGAGCTCCCGCTGGATGGGACAAGGGTCTGAGAGCCACTTCACCCCAGGGTAGAATTATTGGACCAGAGTGTGTGTCTTCCAGGCAGGCTGTACTCACCTCAGGTCTCTCATGTGTCAGAAATTGCAGGCGTAGTGTTCATGGTTCTACACTAATCCTAATTGCCCTTTGCTGTATTTCTAGGCACAGACTGAAAAGCTTTTCCCCCAACAACTCTCAAGATGCATCTTTAGAAGGGAGGAAGGGGAGGGGCGCCATGGCAGGGGGTGTGGGGAGGCTCTGTTGTTCCGAGTACCTCGGGCGTCGGTTTTATGGGGTGTCCGTGTGGTGTGACGACGTCTTGGCCGAGGCTGCATGTGGCACAGGCTCTGCAGCGGCCGCGTGAGCTTGCTCAGAACACACCGTGTGGTTTGGGTTTTCTCTGTTTCCCGTCCATATGCTTTGGATGTGCCGTCAACGCATGCAGCGTGTTTCTTCCTGTAGTAAGTGGTGAGATTATGTGACTGATGTGTATGAAATATGTGCACTGGGAAAACAGAACTGATGCCCTTCTGTTTTAACTTGTTTGATCAAGAGATATTTGACAACTAAAAACTGTCTATTTTTAAGGTGCCCAACTTGATATATGTATCGATTGTGAAATGATCATCATAATCCAGCTGATTAACAGAGACGTGTGTGTGCGATGAGAACATTCAAGACAAAATTCACTTTATTTTTTTTTTAATTTTTTTCATTTATTTTTATTAGTTGGAATGTACAGTTCATAGAGCTGAGAAACAGATTTTGGGAATTTGTTTTAAAAATTCTATCCCTAGGTTTTTTTTTTCAGAGTGGCTTCTTGTTCTTAAATTCTTGGTCCCAGGCAGAAGGTTGTGTAACACATGTGGGGTATCGAGTCCAAGTGTGTTCTGATGACAGAATATGAACCAATCCACAGTGTGATGGCCCTGCAGGCGGCCGTCTCCTGCTCTGAAACTTGCCCCGCAGTGTCCAGGCTCCACGCATGGGAAGGGGGAGCAGTGACTCCAAGGTGGGGGACTGTGGGGTGCTGGAGCTGGAGTCAGCCCCTGGTTCTTGCCCATCGTGGAAAGGGAAAGGACGTGGGTCCTCAGGAAGCTGGTTCAGGTTTTTCAACCTGAGCAAGTTTATGATCTGAAACAGACGGCTAGAGGGAATAATCTTTCAACTGATCCTTTTTCCTTCCTTACAGTCTTAGCTATTTCTGACCAGGAGGCAGCATTCAGGGAAAGACACACTGTGTCCAGATGCTTAGGGAAGCCTTTCAAATGCAGGTCGGGGGTGTTTACGAGGATGCTCATGGTGGGTGACGAGTGTAAGCCTGTGTCTGGGGTGGGAGGGCATCAGTCCCAGGGCACTGGGTGACCAGGGGCCAAGGGTCCCCTGCTTGCCTTGGGGCCCTGGAGGAAAGGGCACTGTAGGATCCAGTCATGGAGTAATGGAATGTCATGGTTTAACGGGAACACAGAATCAGTGTTTCGTCTGCACTGAGTTTATACCGTCACCTGGAGGTCTGCACACTGTCAGAATTCATCTCTGCCTTACTGACTTGTTCTGTAGATACATCTCCTCGGGCCTCTGGGGGTGTCTTGTGTATTAGCAGCTGACTTCAGTCAGGAGACAATTTCTTAGCATGTATCAAAGTGACTTTCTCAATGCCAGCAATATCACTGGAGTAATGGCAAACACAAGCACCAGGTAGGTATCTGGGCTAAGGACCTGAGCTTTGGGGTAGGAAGGTGATAAGGAGTTTCCAAGCCTCCTTCTCTTGCCCAAACAGGATGACTTAAGTCAGGCAGAAGGGCTGGATGGGGCTGACACATTTTTACGGAGCTCTACCCGGAGGGCGGGCACGGTGCTGGGACTCGCATCCCAGCTCACCCACACGTTGCTTTTCCAGGTGGTGTCAGCCCCTTTATAGACTCAAAACCAGCGAGATGGAGAGATGTGAGTGAGTCTACCAACATTGCAGTCAGGAAGCAGGGTGCTGGGCTCTGAACCCAGTTTCGAACACTCTACAGTTGGCCTCTCCTCCTCCCCAGGGAGCGGGCTGGCTGCGTCCCGCTCCTCGGAAGGGACCCTCCCCACACTGGGCTTCCGGGACGGGTGCTCGGTGGGGCTGGCTGCTGGCTTACTCATGTGCGAGGCTGCTGGATGTTTCAGTCCTGACGGGTGCACACGACTCATCTCGGCTCCAGCACGAGACGATCAAAAACCCCACTGGTGTGAAGGGCCTCTGAGGTTGTAGGTTGCCAGCCCTGAAATCTAGCCCACGTTCTTATGGGGTCACAAAGAGAGCACGCATTGTATAAGCATTGCAGTAGCTAGTAACGCTAATGAAAAGAAATAATACTCCACTCTTCTTGGCCAAGAGGCTGCGTGATCTATCTGCTCTCCGTGGACTGGGGTTTCTCTTGGCATTGCATTTGTCTGTTCATTTGAAAAATCGATCTTGTGATGTTTATTCAACCTTGGATATGTAGGTTTCTTAGGCATGTGGTTTCTGGCTTGATCACCCTCTCCAAACTGATTGTGAAATCCTGAGGGGCTGATATGCGTCCTTCACGGAGTCTAGGACTGTCTTCTACGCAGTAGGAGCTTCATAAATTCTACGGAATTGCTTTTCGTTGCCTGTGACTCAGTTGCTCAAACCAAAGTGTGTGATCCTGGGATAAAACCGTAGTGACCGTGCCAAGCTGTAGGATAGCATATTGTTATGAACAAAACACAAGAAAAGCTATGGCCAACCTCGACAGCATATTAAAAAGCAGAGATATTACTTTACCAACAAAGGTCTGTCTAGTCAAAGCTATGGTTTTTCCAGTAGTCATGGATGGATGTGAGAGTTGGACTATAAACAAAGTTGAGCACCTAAGAATTGATGCTTTTGAACTGTGGTGTTGGAGAAGACTCTTGGGAGTCCCTTGGACTGCACGAGATCCAGCCAGTCCATCCTAAAGGAGATCAGTCCTGAATATTCATTGGAAGGACTGATGCTGAAGCTGAAACTCCAATATTTTTCCCACCTGATGCGAAGAACTGACTCAGTGGAAAAGACCCTGATTCTGGGAAAGATTGAGGGCAGGAGGAGAAGGGGATGACAGAGGATGAGATGGTTGGATGGCATCACCGACGTGATGGACATGAATTTGAGTAAACTCCAGGAGTTGGTGATGGACAGGGAGGCCTGTTGTGCTGCAGTCCATGGTGTCGCAAAGAATCGGACACAACTGAGCAACTGAACTGAACTGATAAACAATGTTTAGAAATACATATTTCTGATATTGGATCACAAGCGTTTCTGTTTCATTTAGTTGAAATATTTTAGGATAAAGCATGTTAATATATAGCATAAGATTTGCTGTTTTGACTTTATTTTTGGTGTACTTAGTTCATCACACTCATTAAGTTCAGGGATGTGAAATACATTTGCAGTGTTGCACAGCTACATCCTCAGGACGCTTTAAAAGTGTTAGTTACAGTCAGGACAACTTTGCCCACATCGGACATTTTAATAATATTTTCCTTCTTAAAAAGTTGGGATCTTATCAATGTTAATTAGCTAATTTGGAAAACTCTTCTGTGAATTTATAAAGATGATGTGTGTACTTTCCCTCCTTATCTATTTCAAACTGCGTTCCTGACACATGTTTTTAATTAAATTGGGTCTCTGAGAACTGTCAGAATCGAGATGGGCTGCAATCTCTCCAGCCCTGCTCGTGGCTGATTTTTTGGATCCATCCATTGTAAGGCACTTCGCGTGGAAGCAGGACTTCATGAGTGCTGCCTGCTAAGTTTGTAAAACATTGTCTAAGAGTTTAGCAAAGATTCAGTCACTTTCCAAAGGAATGTGAAGATAAAGTCACAGACCATGTATTTAGGGCTCTCCGGCCTGGCAGAAATTCTGCACCCTGGGAAGAGTTCAGAGTGGTCTGCAGGCAGGTTTGCATGGGAGTTGTCCAACCTCTGGGACTCTAAGCCTTTATATCTAACTCTGAGATATGGGTTATCAATCTTTTAATTGATTTTTTTAAAGTTTTTCCTGCCTGCAAAAAGGTTATCTGTTTAAAAATGTCCTGGGTAATTTTGTGTATCCATGAAGTGGGGAGGGAGAGAGGTTGATGTTGATATTTTGGGTGCTCTCCATGGAGGTTATTCTGGCACTTTCTACTGCCTTTTGGCCACCTGATTCGAAGAGCCAGCTCATTGGAAAAGACCCTGATGCTGGGAAAGGTTGAAGGCAGGAGAAGGGGATGACAGAGGATGAGATGGTTGGATGGTACCACCTACTGGATGGACATGATAGGGAGGCCTGTCGTGCTGCAGTCCATGGGTCACAAAGAGCTGGACAAGTTGTATCTGAACAACAACCTCATCACTGCCATTTCAAGTTTCTCCCGCCCCCCAAGGCTCCTTACTAAACCCAACATCCTCACTAAGCTTTCTGGACCCTTGAGCAGGAGGCAGTAGCTCTCCCTCTGTGACCCACTGTGGTGCTTTGTTTGCTTCTTACACCATCTGAATCACACGGTGGCTCTTCTTAGAGTTATTTGAGCACTCCTCCTGTGTCCTCTGACAGAGTAAGTTTTGTGAAGAGAGACTTTATTTTATTATATTCTTAACAACTTTCACATCACCCAGCACGCAGGAGTAACTGGTCTTGAACCTGATCAAGAACCTTGAGCACAATAGATGACTACTGTATGGTTGGCCTAGAGGCAGGGCTGTGGCAAAGCCGGGGCCAAGAAGTTATTCCCAACAGAGAGAACTAAAAATGAAGCCGGATATTCAGTCAGTCTCCAGAGTGTCTTAAGAAGTCACCGAAGCCTTGACCTTTCTCTACGTGAAAATTAAATCCTCTTTGGAAAATACCATAAAGTCAAAAGTCAGCCAAAATATGGAAGAAACTATTTGCAAGGCAAATGTTCTTAATTTACAAAGAGTTCATTGAGTCGTTAATATAATCCCATAAAAGAAAGGCAAATGAGACAGATAGGAAATTCACAGAGAAGAATACAAATCAATGAAAGATGTAAGAAAATATATCCACTTTATTCTATTTAAAGAAATACAAACAAGAAATGGTGAGTTTGTTTTAAAAATCAGGTTGATAGTGTCCATGGCTGGGATGATGCAGGAAGATGAAATGCTTCTTAACAGGGTCAAAGGTAAATGGCACAGCCTTTTGGTAAGGGAATTTTGCTCTTCCTATGAAAATTAAATCTGCACATGTTTTTAAACCGTCATTTCCATAGCTAGGAATATCCCACAGATCTACTCATAAATAACAAGAAATAGAAACAAGTGAGATATTCATCCTGTGGGGTTGGTTGATTAATTTATGCTTCATCCATACAATGGAAAACAACTGCAGCTATTAAAAACAATAAAATAGACACATGTGTACTGAGGTTGGGGGCTCTGGAATATTATATTAAGTGAAAAAAGTCAAGGTGCAACTGAGCATATAATATTCTGTATTTTGTATAAAAATATGTAACAAGGTGCACACAAAAATGAAGAGTTTAGAGTGGGAAAGGGGTAGTGCTTGACCTAATGGAAGGGAAAGAGGATCCCAGCAGTGGTAGCCAAGATACTCAAGGCTTAGACCCAACTGCTGAATGATATTTATAACAAGAAAGAATTTGACCCAACCAGGAAGGTGAGAGGAGTTTGGGAGATTAAGGATGTATTTGACAATATCCTTCTTGCAGATAGTTGATTGCTATATTTATTTTTTTAACAATAGGAAAAAGAAGATGAAAAGCTTTATGAAGATAATGAAAGGAAGGTTTGTATCAACAGATTCTGTAGTTTTGTGTTTCCTGTTCTGAAGACAGACCTAACAAGATAATCAAAGGATTCCCAAACCTTGTCAGGTGCTTGTTAGAAATACAACATCTGCGTCTCCATCATCCACCATAGCTCTGTTCCCTAGAGGCAGAAAACCAACTCAGAGGAAAGGAAATGTGAAGACAGTTCAAGCAGGTGGATGGATCCGCTGTAAAAGCAGATAAAAAACAGGGGCGGGAAGACTCCTTTAGGGTCATGTATCAGGAGACGCCTCCCCCCACCCTGAATTATCTGCCTTCAGGCACCCAGAGACACCCTCCTGGGTTGTCCAGGGAGCCAGGAATGCTCCGCGCTGTCAGGCTCAGGATGAACGTGTCCACAGGTTGGGGCATCAGGGGAGGATGCACTCCCAAACCACGAGGCTCACAGCCCCTGGGAAGGCAGGGCTTTGGCCGAGCAGCTGGCCCCACGTGGTGGGTGATGGCGCGTCCACCTCCATGGCGTTCCTCTCCAGTAGCTGTGTTCTAGGTAGAGTTAAGGTCTCCTCATTTGTTAAATGATTACGTGATCATAATGATTTTTGTCTGAGTACAGAAGAATTTATTTACTAATTCCTGAGTTCACTTATTCTCATCACTCCATAAAAAAATACCTGAGCCATAAATAGTAATACTTTGGGCCATATATACTAATATTTGGGAAGATACCTAATCAAAACCAGCACCTGGAAGCCACATGAACTTTGACATCACATCAGCATATCGATCACTCACTCCGTGTGACCTTGGGAAGACCCCTTAACATTTCAGAATCTCAGTTTCCTCTGCTGCACGTCTGTTGTTCAGTAGTTTATCACCAAATTAACCTCTGGGATTAGTGAATATGTGGATAAAATATGCTCGATGCTACGCTTTTTATGTATATGAGTAGAAATAGTGAATTGTAGGAGGATCCTGACAGCTTCAGGGGAGAGGGCGCACACGAGCTACAGTTCCATGTGTGAACATGTTTCTATGAGCAGCCGAGTTAGAGAGCGCCAGACTCCAGTTTTAGTGCTTCTGTTAATTTGCAAGTGTCCTTTGTTAAGTAATTTTACCTCTCTGAATCCCATTCATTCAATCAACGATTATTGTACATTTACAGGTTTACTTTCCTCGAAAGAATCAATTGTGACAGTGGATTTGAAAGTTCTTGAAAAGTATATTTATGTTTGAAACGATGTTTATGCGATTTGTATTGAAGCTAAATAACGAAAGCGCGTGTTCTCCAGTTGGAAAGTGGGCACTGGGTTCTCCCTCTCTTAGCTCTCTCGTTAGAAGCAGTGTGCCCGGTTTTGTCCAGCATTCTGCCCTTTGCGGTGTCCTTAGGAAAGGCCCCTCAGTGACCAGCCTGTGCTGAGAAGGTCACAGTGTGTGTTTGCCCTGATGTCCCAGAAAACTGAGGTCCCATGCACTTGGCTTTCAGCGTCCAGTGACTCTCTGGGAAATTTACCACTCGTGTGATGTAGGTGTTACTCGCTCTCTTAACCAGAATGTTTAACCAAACACAGTGGATGAAGAGTGCAGACCTTGGACACATAGAAACTGTGCCGTGAACACAGTTTCACTTCCCTGAGCCCCAGCTTCTTTGTATAGCTGGGATTTCTAACCTGTGAAGTCACTGTGGAGATTAGAATGATTCCTAAAAAGCTTTCACACAGTGGGTTAAGAGTAATTATAGCAGTTATTACTGTTATTCTCCAATCTCATCGTGATTTCTAGTAGAGGTTTCAAATCCTTGGAAGTGGGAATTTGACTTTATTTTATATTTTCATTTTTGTTAGCATCAGGCACATAAAATGCCTTACTCATAGTTGGCATTAATTGTATTTTTAAATTGAATCTTCTTCTATGCTATCTCATGTTTTAAAATTAAGAATAGTTTACCAAACTATAAAAAGTTCAATGTTCTTGCAGAATTCTTAACAGATACAAATAAGAAAAAAGTGAAAACATTGAATTCCGGTTTAGAATCTGTTTTCACTTTTGTGTATATTCTTAAGACTATTTTCCATTTATTTTTTTATGTAGCATATTAAAGGAATCTTGACTCTGCTGATAATAGAAAAGTATTATTTTAACAAGTACTGTGAATCAGTATTGAGGATATTATCAGAATTTACTTTTTTTCCAATATACTTCAGAATGGTGATTTTATTTATTTGGAATAAATGCAAACATTTTGAGCAAAGCTGCCATTCACATAAAAAGAATACCCCCCCCCCTCAAAAAAAAGACAGAGTCAGGTGCTTGTGGGGAATTCTTCCAGAACAACGTTGGGTTCACTTCTTGGGTATCATCTTGGGTGTCATTTGTTTTGATCAGTTAATTTCACACCCAGCAGTTTTACTTCTCTTTTACTGGCATAAATATTCTATTGATTTCTCATTGGATATAGTTTTGTGATTATAAAGAAATATTGAGAGTCTTAGGGAGGTACAGTCGCCCCTTGCACTGCAGGGGTCTATCTGTATGCAGGGCTGCTCAGTAGTAAATATTGCCCCACTGCACGGGCCCCGCGCTTGTGTGCAGCTGCGGGTGTGGGCCCTCGGATGGGGAGGGGCCCCCTCTGTGGAGGGCCAACCACTAGTTATGCTAGGAGTTTTATCTGCATCGGGACCGGCCCCCCCGAGCGCCCCTCCAGGGCCAACTACAAATGGGTAGAATAGTTTATTCAGTAATACACTAAAAAATGGAAACTAAAGTTTAAAACCTTAAGTAGATGTGGAATTACTCTGGTCCGTCCTGTATCAGCTGATAATAACTGAGACCAAACACCAACAAAGGACACTCGGACACCCTGGTGTGCCATTCGGTGGGCTGGTTTTATTTCTGCTTCGTAGGACGTGATCAGAACACATGACCACTCTTGACTGACAGGCATCCAGACTGGCTGCCAAGGTGACAGGTTCTAGCTACAAAGCATGAAAGAAGATAAAATGATAATTGTGAGAAGTTTTCCAAAGGCTTCAAAAATCAAGTATACTTTGATAATAAGTGTGCTATCCATCATAAAACACTTCCTAGATAAGATTTTTAACACATGTATTCACTGATTTATGAGATGTTTTATCACCTTATAGAGGTGCATTTTGTATGTTTTATGACAATGTTATATATGTGGGCTTCCTTGGTGGCTCAGCTGGTAGAGAATGCGCCTGCAATGCAGGAGACCCCCTCTTCAATCCCTGGGCTGGGAAGATCCCTTGGAAAAGGGAATGGCTACCCACTCCAGTATTCCAGCCTGGAGAATTCCATGCTCTATATGTCCATGGACTCGCAAAGAGTCGGACACGACTGAGTGACTTTCACTTTCAGTATGTCTGATTAGATCAAGTTGAAGTCCCTTCAAATGCATGTTAAAGGCAAGACTGGACCAGACCTCAAAACCTCTGGAGCATTAAGTGCTGTCAATGTGATGGAAAAATAGCAGATTTTGTCTGACTTTAAAGCATTTGTAATTTATTCCATTGGAAAAGCAAGAGAGAAACAGTCCCCAGTAACACATAAATAGAGCTCATGTCTATTTAAATTTATTCCTTGGGACATAATGTAAACTTAAAAATAATGTACACTGGGGTATTGCTTGTTCTGTTAGAATCTTGATGTTTATAAATTGAAAGATTTACAACACAAGCCTAAATTGGGAATCTGCTGTCTAGTGTCTGATTTGACAAGGGAGCGCTGAGGGTCATTTGGTCTGTAGGTTATTGCCCCAGGCTGGAATTAATGTAAACTCCTCAAGGGCAAGGCTTGTATTCTGCACATGCAATGGACTTCAGAGTTTAATCTTCTTGTCCAAGAATGTTCTGTTGACAGTATTGAACAAGAAGCAGTGCCAGGTGAGAAAAAGGGGCATCTTCAGATGGCCTGGCCATGCCGTTAGTGAGCCTGCCATGTCAGCCTCGTGGAGGACACTGGTGGCGGCCTCCCTCCCTGCGTCCTCTCTTCCTTTCAGTGGAGGGCAGACCCCCATCCTTCCCCTGAAGAAGTGTAGCTTCTAAATTTCCCCTTCTGGCCTGATCTTCCACTCTTTCCCTAAAGCTGTGTGTCTAGTCAATTCATGAGTTACCTCTTCCAAGAAACTCATCAATTACCCTTTCTGGTCGTTTCTTAACACCCTTTCTTTTGGCAGTTATGCATGCTATTTTAATCTTGTCATTTTCCCCCTGATTACCCCCAAGTTACTATGCATGTGTTTTCGAGGTTTCCAGCAGCTCTCTCGCGCGTGCCGGCTTCTATTTTTCCTGCGAGGCGGCAGTTCCTTCTGTCGGGCCATAACTTCTGCTCAGTCTCCTCTGCCAAGGAGCATGTGTTGTTCAAAACATTCTTAACTGAGCTCGCCTGGGCCTCCTAGAACTAAAATCTGAGATGAGAAAGATCAGGTCCCCTCGTAGCTTTTAGACTTCAGTGTTTTCTTGTGGTTGAAAAATAGAAAACTTCAAACCATTATGACTCTGGGTAGAGTCATAACAACAAGAAAATTGGAATAAAAATAGAACACTGTGGGTAATTTTGGTGCAGTGGAGAACAGAAATTATCTATCATTGATGAATGTTGCGTGCTTATTTTTTAAAAAAGAGTCATGTCCTGTTTGCATTTTGGTTTTCTTGTTATTATGACTCCACAGTAAATAATGTTGTGAATCAAAACCTCCTAGGATGAGGGGTTTTGAAAGAAATGTTGTGTGTAGCTCTGCTTCACTCGGGCTGCGTGGGCAGGGAAGTGCTGCACCTCATTGCAGATGATATCAGATCAGAAAAGTGACTTGATATGTTTCTAACTGTAAAATGAGTGATAAGACAGCAAAACCTTAAAAAAATCAAGTATTGGTTTCTCTCAATTGACATTAATCACATATAAGTGATTGAATACACTTAACAAGTGCTGGGCCCAGAACGTGGGGCATTTCCCATTGCCTGCAGCTACTGATGAAAACACCGTTGAAGCATCTTGCTGAAATAAAATGCACACCAAATCCACAACGTAACTTACCCTTGTCGTCTGCTTTATCAGGCAATCGGCAGAGGATTTCCTCTAACTACCTTTGCCAGAAATGTCAGTAAAGCTGGGGAGTGTTTGATCTCTCATTGTCTCTGACTCAGGAGTTTTGTGACTAGTGAAAGTGACATCGATTCTTTAGTTGAGTTTTGAAATTTGTTGTTTGCCCAGTATCTTTATCATTTTTTTCCCTTGCATTACTTTGATATAACTTTGTCACTACAGCTGAGTGTTTTATTCCTTCCCTAAGAGGCAAGGTTAATACTGAGGAGAAGTGTAGTTCCAAAGACTAAATGTAAGTTATTGATGCTAAGTGGGCTTTGGTGAACTAAAAGTTTTAGAGAATTATACAGCTTCAGAAAAATAAAGCTTGGATTCGTCCATACATAGGAGATTCCTTTGGATTCAAGCAGAAAGGGAAAGGTTCACTGTTGAATAAAAAGGCTTTCTCTTCATCACAGCTGCAGGCATATGAATTCTGTGAAATGCTTTGCATTAATGAAGCAGAGGTATTGAATTGATGTTTGATAACAGAATAGACACAGATGAACCGATCTGTCTTTTCATATGGTGGGCTCCATCCAAACACTTCTGTTGAATTTATGCCAATGTTAGAAATGATGGTTAGGGACCTGACTTACTTTTAATTATGAGAATTATTAGTATGTGGTCCATCTACAATGTTTCTGTAAGGGACCAAACAACCTAGGGTTTAGACCTGTGTAATGTTAACAGAGCAATACATAAAATTTTTGGAAGCAAAACATTTAAAACATTAAAAAAAAAAACATTTAAAATTTTCATTTCTGGGAAAGCTTTATTGGCCGCCTGTACTAACCACATTCTGGAAAGATGCTTTTAGGTAAATTCAGAACTTAGCTGCCAGAAATTAATAGCCATATTTTGGAAGAAAATATATCTTTTCCATGAGTTGTTTTAGTGGGAAGAAAATCAGAAACATGAAGAGGAGAGGGGCTGGAAGGTCCACAGGAATGTTGAATTGACAAATGAGATTGTTTGGGGCCCTTTGTCTTGATTCCACGTATTTTCTGTGGTCCTGGCAACTTTTCCCCGAGAGAGAGCTAAGATGAGAAATAGCCGGGTCCTTGGGATTCAAAGCTGAGGTTTACTGTTGAGCTCACACAGAGTTACTGTCCACGAGACCATGTGATAGCGGTTCAAGTCAAGGCATTTTTCTTATTTACTCATCTTCAGGGTTTCTCTGTATTGATATTTGAAGGAGAGGAGTCCATGGCAGGGCAAAAATCAGTTCTGTGAGTAAAAGTCACATTTCTGCTTGTGAATAGAATGAGTAGGAAGAGACAGGCTATTTGGAAGCTGTAAAATGTCAGAAAACAGGTCCCCACCTTACACGCAATACCGCACCTCGCAGATCGCTGAGCACTGCAGGCACAGAACATGTGTGTCAGCAGTCTCCATGTGTTTGCTGCAGTGAGGTGCCCCCCCGCCCGCCCCCGAACATCCTTCCCTCCCATCCTCAGTGTCAGAACCCGTGCGACATGCAGTGTTCTCTCTCAGCACTGTCCAAACACACATCACAAAGTCTACGCACTCGTACCTGGGAAATAACCCGCTTTAGACCAGCCACTGACTCCCCGTTCTAGCCATCTATCCATGGAATATACTGGGTCTAAAGACCCTGATGCTGGGAAGGATGGAAGACAGGAGAAGAAGGGGACGACCGAGGGTGAGATGGTTGGATGGCATCACCGACTCAATGGACATGAGTTTGAGTAAACTCCGGCAGTTGGTGATGGACAGGGAGGCCTGGCCTACTGCAGTCCATGGGGTCACAAAGAGTCGGACATAACTGAGCGACTGAACTGAACTGTTGGGACCTTCAAATGCTGGTTGAGAGGCTCCCCCCTCCACAATGATTCTTCTCCAGTCTTTCCTTCTACTGAGGAGGAAATGGTACCATCTCTTTGCTTCTTTCAATACCATAATGTTTGGTAATTCCCCTCTCACAGTAGAAGTATCTTACAGCAATTTCTAATCTCTAGTGAGGAAGCACCATGTGTTCAGTGTCTATTCAGGGGTAAGAGACTCTGCAGTGCTCGGGCACAGGGAGACGCTCTAAGATGCAGACTTGTCACCCGATTCATGAATCGCTGCTCTGTTGAGCCTGGCCCAGAGACTGCAGGCTTGGGGAGGGGGAGCTAGGGGATGGGAAGGGGGTTAGGCTTGTCTCGTTTTTAAATGTACTTATTTATTCATCTGTGTCAGGTCTGTGGGGCTTCTCAGGCGGCACTAGTGGAAAGAACCTGCCTGCCAATGCAGAAGATGTAAGAGGTGTGGGCTCAATGCCTGGCTCAGGAAAGCCCCCTGGAGAAGGAAACTGCAACCCACTTCATTGTTGCTGACTGGAGAACCCCATGGACAGAGGAGCCTAGTGGGCTACAGTCCCTGGCGTTGCAGACTTGGACACGACTGAAGCGACTTAGCATGCATGCACATCGGGTCTTACTTGTGGCACTAGGGGTCTTTACTGCCTCAGGCAGGATCTTTGTCGTGGTGCCTGGGTTCTCTAGTTGTGGCGTCTGGGCTCTGGAGCACGAGACCTTAGTAGTCGTAGTGTGCGGACTGCGGCACGTGGGATCTTAGTTCCTTGACCAGGGATTGAACCCACATTCTCTGAATTGGACGGCAGATCCTTAACCACCAGACAACCAGGGAAGTACTTAGGACTGTAGTTTTAATGTAAAGTTTCTCTTCTTGCTTGCTATATATAAGAACATGTAATTAAAAATAAAGAATCAGATTTTAAAAGTAACAAAAAGCTATCTTAATCGGTGAAGCTGGTGACTTCTTTTTCCTAATTCTAGTTCGGAAATTCTCCTTGCAAATGGTGAGCTTGAAAACTGTGAGTTTATTTTCGGTCTTGGAGGTTTGATGTGTAGAGTGATAATGGACTCAGGGCACCACTATTTGAGTTAATGCACAAGCATCTATTGTTTATAATATGCTGAGTGAATTAAATAGTACTGTATCAGATTTTGATTTGATTTGATACTTTAGGGTGGTGGTTCTCAAACTTATTCTCAGGACCCTTTTATATACTTCAATAATTGTGGCTTGCAAAGACCTGTGTTTTTGCAGACCAGGGTTACATCTGTCAGTAGTTACTATATTGCAGTCCCACCAACAGTGGGTGAGGGTTCTCTTTTCTCCAGAGTCTTACCAAAATTTGTTATTTATTGTCTTTTTGTTATTAGCCACGCTGACAGCTGTGAGGTGATATTTCACCATGATTTTGACTTTCATTTCCCTGGTGATTAGCGATGCTGAGCATCTTTTCATGGGTCTGTTGGTGGTTGCTCCCTTTTTGACCATTGGTGTTCTTTCAGCTTGGCTCCTGTGTCCCTTTGACGAGTTTTGTTGTTTTAAGAGCTCTGTCTGTTTCTATTGCTACAGGTGTGTCCTTGCTCCTCTTGCTCATTCCAAGCTGTCTGCCTTGGAATCCCATTTATCTGAGGAGCCCGGGTTGTAAGCCCTCACACTTGGTGGCACTCTGAAACTCCTGGCTGAAATCCGCTTGCCCTCTGTGGTGGTCCCTTCCTCCTGTGCTCTGCTCTAGGGAAGCCGGCGCTCTGTCCTTTCTCTCCTAGAGGAGTCTGTCTGTCCTGAGAGTCCAGCCTGGTTGTTGGCCTGTGATCCCACCTCTCCCATGAGTTCATGGTTGTAATTCTGTGGATGATCTGACTTTTCTTGTTTTTAGGATGGGAGCCATTCTCTTTGCAGCTCTTTACATTCCAAGGTGAAGCTGGGCCATTCTGATGTGGGGGCTGTTTGAGAGGACAGGATGGTCATGGAAAACTTAGAGTTACACTTGGGAATCAGTGTGAACTGGGTCCATAGGTCCTGGTCTCCAGTATGGAGTCCAACAGAGAAGGGCTGGACCCTGAAGCTGGACTAAGGGAACTTATCTGGTCCCGGGTGACCTGTGGGCTTCCTTGATCTTGGTCTGGGCTCCTAGGCCAGGCCAGAGTAAGGCTGGCCCATGGTGCACCGTGGAGAGGTGGGCGGCCTTCCAGCACAGGCTGTGTGGTTTGGCACGTCACTCTCTTGCATGTGTGACAACCTTTGGCGGGCTGACCTTTGTTGCAAACATCAATTCTCAGCGTCCAGTTGTAGCTGAATGTTCCAGTCCCAAAGGCTCTTGCTTATGTTCAGAGAGCAAAGTATCAGCTGCTAACACTGACGGTTTCTATTTCAGGAAGACAGTTCACGAATGTCTTTTAAGAAAAAGTTTCCCTTAAGACACAACACAAAGAAAAAAGGTATGTCATGTAGATGTTGAAGAAATAGAAATGCATATATCCTGTAATAATTCAGCCATGCGCGGGGATACAGTAAGAACCTGCTATAAACAGCTAGTCAGATTTGTCTCCTGAAACGAGAGTTAAAATGTGCATGGAACACTTGACAGAGCAAAGGTCTTAGTTCCTGCCCCCACAGAGCCTCGTGGTGATAACACCACCAAATGAGAAATCCCTTCCCTAATTTCTTCCATACCTATTCATTAATGATCATAATGGTTTATACTTGTGGTTTTAAAAGCAGTTTACAAGAGATTTTCCCATACACGCCTTCTAGTGTAGCATATCAACCATGAGGCGCAGGAAATGATGTATCACAGTATTAAATGATGCAGTGTGTTGCAGACTGTGAAGATGGATGCGTTCTTAACCACTTTTCTTTTTATCACATAAGTTGGGTATTTTATGGATGAGGAAACTGAGGCATAGACAGGGTGCATGCTTCCTAGGGTCAGGATGGTTTCCTAGGTTCCTGAACTTGTAACATTGTAGCCAGAACTCACTCCAGGGTGTGTCTTCCTTTGGGTTTTTTTTTTTGTTTGTTTTTTGTTTTAAGTCATTATTGAATTTGTTACAATATTACTTCTGTTTTAGGGTTTTGGGTTTTTGGCCTCAAGGCATGCAGGAACTTAGTTCCCTGACCAGGGATCAAACCCGCACCCCCGGCATCTGGAGGTGGTGTCTTAGCCACTGGACACCCAGGAAGCTGTCAGGGTGTGTCTTCTGAGGTCTGAAGCCTCATGCCTGGGGGTGGAGCCCTCAGTTCACCCCGGGGCTTGAAGGGCGGCTCAAATCTCCATCAGCAGCTTGTGTGCTCTTTCAGTTCAGTTCAGTTCAGTCGCTCAGTCGTGTCCGACTCTTGCGACCCCATGGACTGCAGCACGCCAGGCCTCCCTGTCCATCACCAACTCCTGGAGCTTGCTCAAACTCATGTCCATCGAGTCAGTGATGCCATCCAACCATCTTGTCCTCTGTCGTCACCTTCTTCTCCTGCCTTCCATCTTTCCCAGCATCAGGGTCTTTTCAAATGAGTCAGTTCTTCACATCAGGTGGCCAAAGTATTGGAGCTTCAGCTTCAGCATCAGTCCTTCCAATGGGTATTCAGGACTGATTTCCTTTAGGATGGACTAACTTTCCTTTAGGATTGTATGCACTTTGGGTGTACTTTATTCCCCCTACAAAGCACCTACAGGTTCCTTTCTCTGAAGTGTGGTGATTACAATCTTGCGAAACAATCGTGTCCTGGGAAAGGAGCCAGTAGTCAGGATTATAGAACACTGTGGCTCCCCCGCCCTTCCCCTGTGGCCTCCATGTGTGGGGACCTGTGGTTGTTCCCCTTGAGGAAGGTAGAGGAGGCGTGTTTGCCACGGGAGAGGCTGAAGAGGTCCTCAGCAGCTCGTATGGAGGCGGGTCAGCCCCAGCTCCCGTCTGGTGGGCAGGGGACCACCCATCACATCTCAACAGCCGACTTCTTTTAGCATTTATACGTGGTAAAACCTGGTGGCTCAGATGGTAAAGAATCTGCCTGCTAGGCAGGAGACCTGGGTTTGATCCCTGAGTCAGCAGGATTCCCGGGAGGAAGAAATGGCAACCCACTCCAGTATTCTTGCCCAGAGAATTCCATGGAGAGAGGAGCCTGGTGGCCTACAATCCACAGGGTTCCAAAGAGTCGGACTCAACTGAGCGATTAACACAAAACATAGATTAAACCAACCCTGGGGGGAGCCTTGAAGAGAAAAGAGAGCTGAAGGAACAGTTGAAGATTTCCCGTGGAAGAGGTGAGCGTGGAGTCTTGTCAGACCCCGGGAAGCAGAGCGACCAGGAGTCGGAGCGGGCCCAGCGAGGCTGGGTCAGGGGCGGCGGGGGGGCGGTGCCTTCAGGCTCCAAGACGGCAGAGTTCGTTGTGCAACATTCCATGCTGTTTCTCACCTATATCCTGGGAGGAGCGACAGATCCAGGAAGACAGTGTTCCTCAAGCTGACCTTGTGTTGTGACGTTTGGGGTTTCAATTTTAAAATTGCATTGTAATTGTCAGTGTCTCCACAATCAAAATCTTTCAACCACGATTTCCTTTGAATGTGGGGGAATGTCTACCTTTCCATTTTCTACTCTTCTTGGTAACTTAAGAGAAAAGTCCTCATTCATAAATGCCAGTAAAGTGATCAGAGAAGATACTCTGTTTTCAAGAAGAGAGGTTTTTATAAAGTGGATCCCAGGTATTAAAAGGTGAAGGTAGTATTTACCCTACAGGGGAGCAGACAGCCACATGGGCCCCAGGTTCCCAGTTAGTGGCCAGAAAGAAACCTGCTGAGCATCACAAATAGGCGTGTCCTTGCAGTTTAAGGGACTTCCAAGTAGCTCAAATGGTAAAGAATCTACCTGCAATGCAGGAGACCAGGGTTCGATCCCTGGGTCAGGAAGATCCTCTGGAGAAGGGAATGGCAACCCACTCCAGTAATCTTGCCTGGAGAATCCCATGGACAGAGAGGTCTGGAGGGCTGCAGTTCTTGGGGTTGCAAAGAGTCAGCCACAACTAAGTGACTCACATACACACACATCTGCAGTTCAGGGTGTGTCTAAGCCCCAGCTTCTCCTCCTTGCTATTCGATTTTCCACAAAAGGATGCTCACGAGAGAGGCGTCTGCATGGGCAGAGTCCACCCCGTCTTCCCTTCCAGCCTCTCTGTGCCGTTTCCCTGAAGTCAAGGACCTGCGTACTTGAAAAAAAACCCATTAAATGCTGTCGGCTTTTATGGAGCCTTAAGTATATACAAAATGTGTATTGAACCATCTGTTGTAACAATAATTTACAACAATTCTTGCACAGACATCTCCTTCTGATTCTTATTTTCGTTTTAACCACCTTGCTAGGTGACGATCGTCATTTTACAGAGGAGGAATCAGAGTGATTACCTGTTTTATCCTTGGTGGCAGAGGTGACAGTGGAAAGAGCAGGGATTCAAGCAGCTCCACCCGCTTCCCCCTCCCCACTCTTGCCGGGGAGGCGCTGAGCTGGGTGCTGGGGGCGGTGAGCTGGGTCATGGCTGTGGCCCTGGAAGTGGGGCTTGGGGGGGCTTGTCCGTAATGCCGGTCCTGAGCGCCCGAAGAGGGGGCTATGAGTGATGTCAGGACCCCCGCCCCCCAGTTTGTTTGCAAGTTCCTCTGGGCTCTGCCTGGGAGCTCCGAAGTTCAAGGACAGCCTCTGAGGCCTCTGAGCGGTGTTGCACCTGCAAACAGGACACAGAACTTTGGGAGCTCACCGTGGCCCCACGGAGCTTTGTGCAGGGGAGGGCATGAGCCTGTCTCACACCTCACCCAGACAACGTTACCTTCCCTCCTGAGTGCTCATGTCTATTAGCGCCCATCCATCCTGTCAGCTTCTGTAATCCGTGCTTCAAAAGTCTCGGAAGTCTTACTGGTCGCCACACTGTTTCCAAAACACCACGGCGCCTTACCTCTTGTGAGAGTTTGCAAGTTTCGTTTTTCTAGGAGACTAAGGCAGTTTTAAGTCCCTGAAGTTTAATTCAAAACAGTAATACTTTTTTTCTCACTAAGAATAATTTTTGACTGTGTTCCATTGCAGTTATTTTTGTTTGTTTTTGAGAACTGAGAAGTGGCGAAGGAATCAAAGAATCAGAAAAAAAATTAATTTTTCCCCTCTGTGATTTCCACCTGCTTCTCTCTGCTTTGGAGCACTCACAGTTCCTGGGGCAGAGTCCCAGGAGCAGCATGATGCTGCCCAGTCCCCAGGCGATCTGGCTTCTGAATCCCATTTTGCACAAGTGGGTCTTGCCGTGTGCGGTCCTCATCAGAGCGACCTTGAGCAGAACGGGACTCTCTGGGTCTCCGGGCTCTCAGCTCTCACGTCCTCCCACCCCAAAGCGACCCCTCCCGCTGCCTCCTCTTCCTAACAGGTGGCCGTGGATAAGCCTCTGCTCTCGTGAGCTGTCATCAGTTACAGCGCACAGTGAGGTTAAAGTGGTGACTTGGCTTTCTTTGTGGATGGAGCCACCTTTTCTTTGAAGATGCTGTTAGTAAGGAGGTGTGGGGGTCCAGTACCTGAGTTCTCAATTCCTTTGCTCTGTCTTCCGAGTAGGCTTGTGAGCTTCCCTGCTCTGTAGGTAAGAAGGTTAGCCGCACAGACCATAGTCCACTGAATACACACCTTGTTTCACCCGAGGGTGAGGACAGCTGAAAGCAGACCAAACGCTTCCTGTTTGCTCGGTGGTCCGGGCCCCAGTCTTGTGCTGTGAACGCCATGCATCCACCATCACGTCTCATTGCGCTCTCACAAATGCGCAGTCTGCAGTCACTAACCAGGTGGTGCTTCCTTCCATTAGTAAAAGACCTTGGTTCAGTCCCTGGGTTGGGAAGATCCCCTGATTACTTGAGAGACCTGCTTAGTGATATTCTGTGATCCTTTACTTTGATGTAAAGTGATGCTTGGGTTTGCTACATGGGACAAAGGATGGTAAGCACTGCCCCTGCATCCAGAGTCTGCTAACAGCCCTGGACCACGAGCTAAGCTGGTCCAGGAGGCGGGGTGTAGCCACTCCAGGGAGGGGGAGTGGGCAGTACAGTCTCAAGATGCAAACGGCAAAGAGGCTGAGGTTGTTTTAGGGGCAAGGAGGGATAAAGGCTTGGGAACCCGCTTCTAGGCGTGTGGCAGAGTGAGCAGCTGTCGCTCCAGAGGACTGTGGGGAGACCGAGTCCTCAGGAGGATGTGACTTGGGTCAGCTCCTGCAGGACACGCCTCTCCATCAGCAGTCTGCATCGGGGAGTTTATCTTGAGGCCGTAAAATCAGAAATAAGTGCTTATTTTGTATCTCCAGATGTCATCTAGGTTACAACTTAAAACAACAAGTGGTGGGTCTATGACTTAAATTTACTTTCATTTGCGGGGGGTGGCTATTCTCTGTTTTCCAAGTATTCTGTCATAAGCAGCACATGTGAATATAGAAAACGGAATTATTTTAGGAATAAAAACCCTTACCGGTTGCAGGAGAACTGTTGAATCTAGAATCAACAGAGTTGATCTGTGATTCTAGGTCTCCGGTCGGGTCTTCAAGTCACTGTCAGAGAGTCTGTGAATTCAAACTACTCTCTGATGTGATTTGTAAAAGGGCTTGGGGCTTCCTGGGTGGCTCAGTGGTAGATGCGGCTTTGATCCCTGGGTTGGGAAGATCCCCACTCCCTCATTCTTGTCTGGAAAACCCCATGGACAGAGGGTCCTGACGGGCTACGGTCCACAGGGTTGCAAAAGAGTCAGACACGAGTTAACGAAAAGAGCAGCAAAACGCAGAGACCTGGTGAACGTCTTTACTGATTGTTTGAAACACGTCTTGCTCACGGAGAGGCCAGATGCCTGCATGGCTGTCACCAAACACAAAAATAAATGCCCTCTAACTTAGGGTTCCTAACTGTCACAGTGCAATTACCCCTGAAACCAAAACATTGGACTCATTTTCACAAATTCCAGCCTGACATCTTGATTCATAACGAGCAGCTGCAGTAGACTCCAGTAGCCTCAAAAATGAGTGAAAATGAAGACAAGATTTTGAAGCAAGTGTTGAACACAGGACTTAACAGTACGTTCAAATCACACGACTGTATACCGGGCATTAGGGGGCTGCTTTGTGGACAAAGGCAATGGTTTTTCTGATTTCATCCAACTGTTGTGGTTCGTGGTAGCCTCTGACCTCCCACGACTGTCAACGAAATCAGCCATCTCTTGAAAATCTCAGTTCTTACTCCTTTTCCTCTCTGCTCCAACGTTAAGATTCTCTCAGCTGCTGTTGCTGGCAGTCTAATCTCTCCAATCATCTCTCCTAACAGCTTCTCCGATTTCTTCCCTTATGACCGGCAGCTCCCCCAGCTGCTCTCGTCTGGCTGTTCCATCTCACTTGCCAACATGTCAGGTCTTCAGAACAGCCTCAAGCTAGTTCTTTTTGGCCCCTGAGTTCAATTTAACTGGAGGGCTTATTAGCAAGAATATTTGCGTGTTAACTATGTCAGCAGAAACTACATACTGACGTGTTATCGGCTCGCACATCTGTACAGAGTAACCGTTTTCAGGCTGTGCTGATGGACTGGCAGAGATGCTCATGAACTTTAAAGTAACTGAAATCAAAGCAGAATGTCAGATGAGAGGCTCAGCAGGCGGATCGGCAGAAGTCTTATTGCATTTATTTACATTGTGCTTGTGTGTACCAGCACTTTGTAGCTTACAAGTGTTGATGTAAATCGCACATTTCTAGTTTTAGCATTTTTCACTGGACACAGAATATTATAATTTTCCTGCCCTTTACTGTTGAGGTTTTTGACAAGCAGCTGCCATGGAAACTGAGTGACGTTTTCTGATTGGTGGTGGAGTACACCCGACATGCGCACTTTACAGTTTCCTGGTCTGTCTGGAGAGCCCCTGGCCCCCTGGGATCCCTTGTATGGAGGAAAGGAAATACCAGCACGTGCTCCCCACTGCCTACTGGGAAACTGCAGGAGGGAGAGCTGGGGAAAAAAAAAAAAAACCACCTTAACTAAAATATGCTCTTTTTCTTAGAAGAAGAGAAACAAGAAGATCAAAATTCCATCGCCCCATAGTCTCAGAGACCACGGTTGGCATAACATTGATCTGACCTCCTGTGTCATAATGCAGGGTCCTGCTTTCGCCGAAATGGCCCTAAACGCCTCTGCTCACCTCTGCGTGCTGGCATGCCCCGCGTGCTTTTAGCTGTGGGTCTCACACCACCATCTCATGGGACGGAAACCTTTAAGTTGGTGTATTAATATCTGGGTTTTCCTTTCTTCCTTTTTTCAGCATCTCTCAAGAACCTCAGCAAGAATAAGAAAGTGGTTCCGTTTCCTGGTAAGAGAATGGCTATCATGATGGTTTGTGGGGCGCCTGGGAGACGGGTCCTTGGCAGTTACCCCCGGAAATGTGTGCACAGCGACCCCGCTGGGCCACCCCCGGAACTTCCATTTGGGGGCAGTGTCCACGCAGCCTGTCTGGCTTGGAACAAGCTGCCCCTCTCATGACTGGGCTCTGACCTCTGAAAACCCTCTTTTGTATGGCACCATATTTAGGCGGACTGACAAAGGAGGGTTTTCACACAGCAGCATAGTCACACTGTCTGTCTGTCAGCCAGCGATTCCATCCAGGCAGACTTTGCATTGTTGAACTATGCAGTCATTTTAAGATTTCAAATAGCATTTTATAAGGAAAAAGGAAAGAAGAGAAAACAAAAAAAACCCTGGTACTTGGAGTAAGAAGGTGCGGGTTTCAACAGGAGACTTCAGACAAATATGGAAATTCTTAGGGGCTCTGAAGTGACCCATTTTTAGCCACATTTAGGGGCCTGTTGGATTATGGGTTCAATTCTGAAAGGATACAATATAGAACAAGTGTGCAAGGTCAGAGACGCCTCACTGATGATTGCATTTAAAAGGTGACGTGAACTCGGGGATTTTTGAAATGTGTTTTATTACATATCAATACAGCACATGTATTACTGTATATTAATGTTTCATGCAATTTCATATTGAAGAGTATGGTGATCTGTTATTCACATCTCACTACCATTTTTAATTTTGCACATTCTAAGTTTGTATGTCTTTAGGGATGCTTTGCCTGTGGGACTAGACACTGCTGGTCCATTTATTATTTATTCCTTTTTTTCATTTATCAAGCATTTTCCAAGTACTTTCCGTGTGCCAGGCTTGGGGAAAAAAAGATGCCTAGGACACAACGCCTGCCTCAGGCAGCTTCGAGGTGGGGCCTCGGACCCAGCAGGGGTCAGCCCGCCTGCCGGTGCAGGAGGGAGCCTGGAGGGGGTGCTAGGCGGGCTGTGAGTGGCGCGCAGTTGCACCTTCCTGGGGGTTGGCCAAGCGCAGTTTCACCTCCTCCTGCCTCTCACCTCCTCGGCCTTTCATTTTCATATAATCGACTATTACCTTGTGAAGGTTTTTCGTCTTTCTTCTATAACAGTCCCCTCCTTTGTTTTCTCTCTTTAAACCTGTTGTGGTAATAAGTATCATGCGTACAGTTTGCCTTCCACATCCGTGGATTCAACCAACTGTGGATCAAAAATATTAGGGAAAAAGTTCCAGAAAGTTTCCCAAAGCAAAACTTTGCCAAGTGCAGGTGACCGTGTACATAGTGTCTTAACTGTCCTGCGCAACAGCTGCTCAGATAGCGTTTGCATCATGTTAAGCATTCTAAGAATCTAGATGTGATTTAAAGTATATCGGAGAACGTGCCTAGGTTGTGTGCAGACACCATGTCCCGTCATGTAAGGGACCGGACATCCGTGGGGTCCCCGGAACCACACACGCGGAGGGATCAGTGATCACAGTTCACTGTGGCCTTTGATCACGTATCACCATGATCTTACATTTCTGAAGATCCACTTTCACCTGTTTTTTTTTCAAGAAAGAAATAACTGAGACCCAGGAAGAGAAGGCAATCTATCCAAGATTATTCTGAATGTAGGTAGACGAACCAGCACTCATGAGTCACTTAAATCATCCTTTAAAAAGGAAACAGAATAGTGGGGAGTTGCCCACCCCGAGCTCGGCATCGAGTGCTGAGAGAATTACAGGTGAGCTTGGAGCCGCTGTGCCGTTCTCTGGAAGCTCATTGCTCCCGGGTTGGGACACAGGTAGACGCAGACAGAGATAGAGGCTTGTGCTGGAGACCCTGGAAATGTCCCGGGGAGAGAGTGGCTGACGTCCTGGGCCAGGAGAGAGGATGCAGGGGGCGACGGGAGGTGTTAAAAGGAGGGGATTGTGTAGGTGGACTGCAAAGGGTCAGGGGGTCTGCTGGAGGGCTGGGCAGTGCTGAGAAGGGGGTCAGGGCAAGGGGGCCGCATGTGCAGGCGTGGGGAGGGACGGTGGGAGCCGGCGGTGTGGCCAGAGCAGAAGGATGTCGGGGGGCCGTGTGAGGGGAGAGACGGGGACGCAGGTGCCCCAACCCAGGTCTGCTGTGTCCCCGAGAGCAGGCGGGGCCAGGTGCCAGTAAAGGTACCAGCCCCAGGTCTCGGGGACGCGAACCATTAGTGTTCGTTTCTCAGCTGCACAGCTTGCCGCGGGGTGGAGGCTCCCCTGGGCGTCTCCCCTCCCAGCGCTGACTAGGGATCTGGGGGCTTCATGATGCTGCTGCCTTCCAGAGGAGAGGAGAGACAGGAGGTTACATGAGACCCTCCCCAGCTCAGCCGGGAACAGGGCTTCACGTTCTCAGCCCTGTGGTCGGACGAGGCCCTAGCCCCCCATCCCAGGTGCGAGCTGGCTGGGAACCATCCGCGGCAGCTGGACACGAGGGCGGGAGCACAGCTGGGTCTGCTGGTCACCGCTGCCACACCCCAGGTGTCACTCTAGGGGCCTGGCCTCTGTCCTGTAGATGATGTTAAAGCGAGGAGATGATGTGATCAGGTTCATGCTTTAAAATCATCACTCTGACAGCAGGAGGCGGGGACGGGAGACATACTGTCTGTAACGTCTATTAGATGGCGTGAACCATGGAGTAGGGCTGCACAGGAGAGACGGACTTCAGGACCACATGGACCAGACCTGGCCGCGGAAGGGATAGGAGAGATGAGGCTGACGCTGGAGCTGGGCTCTCTGGATTGGGCTCTGGTGCAAAGTTACTCCTCCAAACAAGAGCAGGAGCAGGTTTGGGGGGAAGGACGGTATCAGCGTGCCGGGGTGTGAGGCGCCTGGCTTCTCCTGGGTTCTGTGCAGCTCCAGCTGAAGGCATCTTTCCTTGGGCTGTTTCCAGCGGTGGTGTTTTTAGGTTTTCGGGACATCCTCTGCTTTCTGACGGCAGGGGGATTTTATCTCTGCAGGATTCGCTTGGCGTTGGCGAGCACGGTTGGGCTGGTGGGAGGTTGGTCATCACCCAGGAATCCTCCTCTCTCCTTAGGCAGTTTTTCATGTGTTGGCGCCTCTTCTGGAGAACAGTGGCTCTGGATTCTCCTGCACTGATGCTTTCTTTTTAATTTTTATGAAAGTGCCTTCCCTCCCTCTGTGACTCTTAGAAAAATCAAGCCTTCCCAGTAGCTTGTCAACTTCTAAACAGTGAATGGACATTTCTAAATGAGAGTAAAAGCGATAAAACATGTAAAAGCACTTTGTCAGCATAATGTCATATGTGAAAACTATTTTCTTAATACTATCACTGTCATTTTGAAATCAGTGATATAGTAACAGTGCTTGTCATTTTATGATTTAGTTCATGTGGTTTAGATGGCTACTATGTTTACTGGTGGTTTTGTTTTATTTTGTTTACTGAAAACAAGAAAAGGAACCAAATGACATTCTAGAGGAAAAAAAGACACCTGTACGGCTAGACACCCCAGTTGAAAAACACCAAAGAGAACCTCCAGTGGGACAGCAGTCACAGGAGTCATCACCAGGACAACCGGACGTGGGACAGCAGTCACAGGGGTCATCACCAGGACAACCAGACGTGAAACTTGACAAGCAGGAATCAGCTGAACAGTGGTCCTTGGGACAGCCGTCCCAGGAACAGGTGCCCGACAAACAAGAACCCCCTGAACCGTCATCCTTGGGACAGCCATCCGAAGAACAGCTGACTCAGGGAGATGACAAAGAACAACAGATACCCTGAAAACAAAGTATCAGCCATAGCTTTGAAGAACAGCAGTCTGAAGCTAGAAAGATCAAAAGGCAAATGAAAATAACATTAGGCATTTTTTTTCACATGATGCTGAAGAGGTATGGCCGAAGGATATTACAATTGTGAATTTCATATTTTGGTGCCCAGACATAAAGTTTTCAACCAATGATTAAGACTAAATGTATCTGGAATTCTTTCTTCTGTTCCCTGAGTGTAAAGCTGGGAGGGAGTGGTTGGTAAGATTGAATGGACGGTCATCAGGTAGCCTAGATCATCCCTCTTTCTTAGAACCTCGCCCATATCTGGCGTTCCAGAGCGACTCAGCCATCCCCAAAATGATACATATTTGCATAGTTATCCGTAATTAATTATTCCTATTTAAAAGTTATTTAAGACATAATTATAATACATATTGGGGCTTCCCAGGTGGCGCTAGTGGTAAAGAATCAGCCTGCCAGTGTAAGAGATGCAAAAAAACCCGGATTCGATCCCTGTGTTGGGAAGATCCTCTGGAGGAGGAAAATGGCAGCCCACTCCAGTGTTCTTGCCTGGACAATTCCACAGACAACAGGAGCCTGGCGGGCTACAGTTCACAGGGTCACAAAGAGTCGGACAGAGCTGAGTGGCTGAACATACACGTAATACATGTGATATATAAATCTACACACAAATATCTGCATTACTTATACACATGCCTGCACATACATGTCAGAAATAGGCAATAGAGCCCCAGCAAATGGTGTATTTTTGTTGGTGAGGAGAATGGACTTTCAAGTCAGACTACGCAAGTGTGACCTCTCCACTCACTAAGTACGTGAACTAGGTCTGTCTCATCCATTAATTGGGGCTGATAGTAATGCCTGACTCAGGTTGTTGGGGTGATTGACAGTGATATCGCTTATTAAAAAGCCCTTCGAACAAGAACACATGGGAGGCACTAAAAGCGCTGGCTGTGCCGTCATTTCATTTTGGTGGTTGTCTTCTCTGTTAAATGAGAGAAGGCAAGCTGGAGTTTCTGCGAAGATCATTACCAGCTTTGACTCTTCGGAGGGTTACCTGAGCTGCTCGACTGCTAGAACAAAGCTAGCAACAAGGATTTCAGGATTGTCAAGCCCTAGTTAAAAATCATACCAGTTCTTTACCATCTGTTAATTAGTAATACAGTGTTTGCCTGTGGAAGGAGAAAGGAGAGCGATTATTTCACCATTTCATGGTTTCTTGGTGTTAGACCTGACCGTAGCATTTGTTACGCCCTAAGGAGGACACTGCAATCAAATGGAAACCATCTCCATCTTGTCTTCAGGCATTTTCAGTCAATCAGCACGTTTCTGATGGAGACCCCACTGGCTGGCCTGGCCTCGCCCTCACCGCTTTATGAGAAGGAGTTCAGCGCTGTGAGTCCCAGTCCCTTTGCCCAAGGCCTCAGTCCTGGGTCCGCTGTGTGTTACCGCGGAGAGAAGATGGGTTTGGGGTAAGAACCTCCAGTTCGGCCCACGCCACCCTTCATGGACCCGATGGTCTTGACCTTGGTCTTCTGTAAAGCAAGAAGGATGATGTGAGAGCTAGGAGCAAGTCCAGAGATCATGGCGTTTACACCATAGGGATTAATTAATGACCCAAAGATGCGGGTGACCTGTGCAGCTTATAGCGACAGGGTAGGACTTGGACTCATAGTTTCCTTTATTTCCCTCTTAAAAAAAAATTTTTTTTAATTACAAATCACTAAAGTATTTAATCTGTCTTAGTATAGAATGATTGTAATGACAAATGAAACTAAACTCTCTAAAATTCACAGTAGTGTGCTGGTATAAGATAGAATCTTTATTTTAAAGGGTACATAAATATCGCTTCATTTAAAATACTGCATCCAAAAAAAAATAAAAATAAAAAATAAAATACTGCATCCAATGACACCCACATTTGTGGCCTAACTTTAGCGTGGTCTGGGTGCTGGAGGAGTAATTCAGTTTTACGATCAAGCAAAAAAACTGAAATTCAAGCAATGCCATAGCAGCTCAGCACCTTTAGAGAATGGGGGCTGGGGGCTGGGGTTGGGGGAGAAGATGGAGGCAGGGCAGGAGGGACCCCAAGGGTTTCCTTAGATCAACCAAAACGAGATGACCACTCACCCCGAACTAATTTCAGACTCATTTTGAAATAAATTGTCAAGGTTGTTTTCTGCACCAGTGCCTGCCCCGCAGCAAACCACTGCCTGGATGCACTGCTATTAGTTTCCATCTCGTACCGTAGATCCTGACTCTCAACACGACACATACTGTGGCCCAGAAAATCACCCAGAACCTCCAGACTTCACAGAAATACCAGCTCTCATGAGAACTGGGAGTGGACTGTGGCCAGACCACAGCTGTAGGAAGTTTTCCCTTTAACCTGCTTTTTTATGTCTTTCAGATGGCCTAGGAGTGGAAACCATTAAATTAAAAAAATCACCTTTGTATCCACTTGAAGTCAGTTTTTCTTCCATCATGATGCTTCTGTCTCACATATGGACAGTTTGACAACAAGAAACCACGTCCGGGGTGAAGCGAGGCCCCAGGCAGTAGTAAACCTCAGGAGCTAGAGATGAGGGCTTCTCGTGGGTCCCATGTGTTTCTGATTCTTTTTCTTGATGATATTTCTTTTTAGTAAACATTTAGAAGAGTGAAATGTGGTTCTTTAAAATTAAGGCTCACAGGGATAATTCAAAACCAGAAGGGTTTGGAATAACATCTGCACATTTCCCCTCATGACTTTTTTTTTTCTTGGAATGTGTATTGAAAGGTATGGTTTTATTTTTATGCAACATGGAAGGTCTCACAAAGAGGTATCTAGAACCTCCACTTTGTGAAGTTCAAAGTGTGAAAATATTTTATCTGCTGAATGATTAATTCCAAAAGAAAGAAAAAAGTTACCAAGGTGAGCTGGGAAATGGGTTTTAAAATTTACTTTTTCATAATGACAAAAGTAATACCCACGTAGCTAAGTGCAAAGATTTAACAGTTTTCTTTAGCAAAGATTTTAAATACAGCAAATAATATATGCCTTCACATCACTCTGTTTGGAGTTGGGGGGTTGTTTTGCTGAGCACACATAGAGCTCTTAGCTGTGTGTTGTTTGCCTTCTAGTCACAATTAAAGAAGCTGCAGGCTATTTACCTTTGCATTTCAGTTAAAAAAAAATCATGTGCTATCAACAAGGTTAAATTTTCAAAATTAGAAATTCATTTATTTTTTAATATTTACTATTGAATTGGAGGATGATTGCTTTACAATGTTGTGCTGATTTCTGCCATATAACAGCATGAATCAGCTAGAACTATAAGTATGTCCACTGCCTCTTGAACCTTCCTCCTACCAAGATTAGAGATGTAAATACTGGCACCTCCACGACACGGGGCGTTGCTTCGCTGAGGACTCAAGCATATATTCTGTGACACTTACTGACTCCCCTGGTGGCTCAGACAGTAAAGCGGCTGCTTACGAAGCAGGAGACCCGGGTTCGATCCCTGGGTCGGGAAGATCCTCTGGAGAGGAAGTGGCAACCCACTCCAGTACCCTTGCCTGGAAAATCCCACGGACGGAGGAGGCTGGTAGGCTACAGTCCATGGGGTTGCAAAGAGTCAGACACGACTGAGCAACTTCACTTCACTTATTGATAGATAATATAGTTATAACCATTGGTAACAGGCTCAACAGTGTCAACTTCTTATATTTGATACTTAACATGCTTTGGAAGTCAGCCTGCATTGAAATGTGTCAGAACCTATTGGGGTATGCAAGAGAAAGTGAAGAAGTAGGAAAAAGAGTTTGGATGTCTGCCAAGCCTTCTGAACTGAGTAGGGAAGCCGGAAGGAAAATGAGTATAGAGTGGAGACATATTTCTCTTTTACAAAAGTATATGGTAAAATAAACTATTTGTGTTTCCACCGAAGTAGCACGTGTTATTTGTATGTGAGCAGCTGCTTCTTTCCTGTTGTTTTAAGATTCTCTCTTTGCTTTTGGCTTTCATAGTTCAATCATGATATGTCTAGGTACATATCTCTTTGAGTTTATCCAGCTTGGAGTTTGCTGAGTCCCGTGTTCAGCTATTGATTGGACAGAGACCCTGGGTATGCGGTTTTGGAGGGCCCCAAACGCACTCTGGGCGCCCCAGCTGGCTCCGGGGTAAGAACCCACCTGCAGTGCGGGGGCCGCAGGGGACACAGGCTCGACCCCCGGGTCGGGGAGCCCCCTGGAGGAGGGTGGGGCGACCTCTCCAGTGCTTTCACCTGGAGCGTCCCCTGGGCAGAGAAACTACAGTCCATGTGGTCTCGGAGCCGGACATGCCTGAAGCGATGCACGCACCCATGCACACAAACCCATCCTGCCTTCTCCTCTGGGTGCTAAGCTGTGCTTTTCACAGTTGTGAGATGATCCATTTTCAAGGTGATTGTTGAGCTGGGGAGAGGGAGCTAGGAATAGGTCAAGTTAAAATGTCACAAAGCCTGCTGTTCCTACTGAGATTCAGTTATTTTTCTTAAATAAATGCTCCTTGGACAGCTGCAATCCTTTGATTAATTTCTAGAGTCCTAAAAAAGTGATTTTGACCCTTTTTGCTAGTATTCTTGTTACTTTTATGAAGGAGTGGACTTTTGATGGTCTTTACTGTGCTATTTCAGAAATGCTTCTCTTGTGGCATTCTTGACGTGGCAACTGGTGAGAATGCAGATGCCTCCATTTTTGCACCTGCACACATGTTTTTAATTCTGTTCTAGCTTGGTTTATTTTTTTTTCATTTATTTTTATTAGTTGGAGGCTAATTACAATATCACAGTGGTTTTTGCCATACATTGACATGAATCAGCCATGGATTTACATGTATTCCCCATCCCGATCCCCCCTCCCACCTCCCTCTCCACCTGATCCCTCCAGGTCTTCCCAGTGCACCAGCCCCGAGCACTTGTCTCATGCATCCAACCTGGGCTGGCGATCTATTTCACCCTAGATAATATACAT